AACCATTTTAACACCGCAACAGACCAACAAACAGCATCAGAAACTCAGCTGACCTCTAAACTGTTAATATGAAATAAAGTTTGTAATTTTGTACACGAATGAGCGGCGTGATAATGTTGATATACAACAATGTACAGTTCCTAAAAAGCACCGCAAATCACACAATAAACTGTTTTTGTATCATATAGATGTGTTGTTTGTGTATCACTGTTCGCATAAAAGCTGTTGTTTGCATTTAATTTATTTTCCTTGTGGTCACTTTAAGTGTTAATGTGTCATTTTTAGGTTCTTTGTCGTAATTTTGTGTCTGTTTTGAAATAAATTTGTGTGTTTTTAAAGTACCTTTGTGCCTTTTTGTGTCTCTTTATTGTCAAATTGTGTTTTTGTGTTCATTTCGTGTCTCTTTGAAGTAAATTTTGTGCCTTTTTGTCTCTCCTTGTTGTAAATCTATTTCTTTGTGGTCATGTTGTATCTCCATGAAATAAATATGTGCCTTTGTGTATCTAATTTATTGTCAGTTTATGTCTTTGTTGTCATTTTGTGTCTGTTTGTGCTGATTTTTGGCTCATCTGTGGTCATTTTGTGTCATTTTTGTGTTATGTTATGTCTCTTTGGGGTTATTTCTTTCTTATTTATAGTATTTTTGGTCAGAATTAGGAAAACTACCAAATATTCACATTTAAGAATGTTTAGAAGCACTTTTTTAGTCTTTAACAGTGAGCTGTGTTTAATAATCGAGTCATGTTTACAAAATGTAATATATTTTCAGATAAATTTAGTGGAGTAATTTGTTTTCTGTCTCATAATTTCAATTATTAAACTTTGACGTCTTCTCTCGGCCAAAATGTGTTTCTGTATTATTCTGTTTCTGACTTATTATTTCTGTTCGCCACTTATTTTTTTTAAAGATAGTTTAACTTGTCGCTTCTCCAACAACAGACTGTGTATGAAACAGGCCCCGCATCTGTTGCATGTGTGTCTCCGCCGGCAGCAGCTGTGGACAAACCGAGCGCACCTCCTCGTGAACCGGGACTCCGGAAGCAGGAAAAAGGAAAAAATCTCTGAGGCAGGAAAAGTTTGAAAATGAGCCGAATTTATCATAACACGTCGCTACAGAACAAACCGGTGCACAGTGAGAAGCTGGACCGGGTCTGGAGTCCGGCCGAGCATCAGAGGTAAAAGCTGCAGCTGCCGCACACACCGGCTGTTCCTGCGGGGCGAAGCCTGAACCAGACTCCATCTGAAAATCTGATATTTTAAGCTTTTCTTCACATACAGAGCAGCTCAACCTAAAGTGCACACTTCGAAACATTATTTAGTGAGTTTCGGTCACTTCGGCTGCATTCGGCCCAGTGTGTGTGAATAAACTGGGGCTCCACCTCCAAATACAGCAAAAAAAATACTTCCTTTATTTTGGTTCATCAGCAGAAAAAGTCCTTAAAACAGCGTAAAAAGGGACATTTTCTGAACAGAGTCTGTTTCAGTGCCGATAGGTTTAATGTGAGGGATCAGCTGATCACACTGATGCAGACACACAACCTTCACTGACATTCTGCTGTTCATGAGGCTGGACACTGATGAGCTGTTTGATCATGTTAATAATTAATGATATGAGTAACTCACGTTATCAGTACAATAAAAATACCACAACTTACACAATAAACTGTTTGTAAGCTGTTTATACTGTCATGTCTGTGTAGTTGTTTCACTCATGGAATACAAGTCATTGTTTACTTTTAGTTTTGTGTCTCTTTATTGTAAATGTGTGTTTGTTTGTGGTCATTTTGTTTCTATCTGTGGTTCGTTTGTGTGTCTGTGGCCGTTTTGTGTCTTTTTGTGTGTTTTGTGGTTGTTTTGTGTCTCTTTGTGGTCATTTTGTGTGTTTTTGTGTCTCTTTATTGTAACCTTGTGTCTCTTTGTGATCGTTTTGTGTCTATTTGTGGTTCTTTTGTGTGTCTGTGGCCGTGTTGTGTCTTTTTGTTGTCATCTTGTGTCTTTTTGTGGTCACTTTGTGTTTCTGTGGCCATTTTGTGTTTCTTTGTTGTCATTTTTTGTGTTGTTGTGTCTCTTTATTGTAAAAATGTGTCTCTTTGTGGTAGTTTTGTGTGTCTGTGGCCGTTTTGTGTCTTTCTGTTATCATCTTGTGTCTCTTTGTGATCGTTTTGTGTCTCTTTATTGTACATTTGTGTCTTTATGTTGTAATTCTGTCTCTTTGTGGTCATTGTCTGTATTTTTGTGGTAGTTCTGTGTCTATTTGTGAATCTTTTGTGTCTCTTTGTGGTCGTTTTGTGCTTCTTTATATCTACGGTTTGTCGTTTTTGTGGTAATTTCGCGTCATTTCTGTGTCAAGGAGCAAAAGTAAAAAAAAACCTGCTGCTGTTTCAACAGTCGTTGATAGTTTTCTGTGGTTACTGAAGCAGAAACGGTGAGACTGGTTGTGATGTCGGATGTTTTTGTCCTGCACAGCGGCCCGGGGCTCCTTCTAGAAGGAAATCTGCTGGATGTTTCCAGACACGCAATCAGTGACGCCAACAACCAGAAGGTGAGAGAATGAACAAAAGCAGTGACTCAGCAGGAGGCTGTAAAATGTACAGAATTCATCTGGAAGCATCTGTTTCACCGTCAAGTATCTGAAGCCCTTTGACTGATCTGAAAAAAAAAAACAAGCTTCAGGCATGAAGCAGCCAAACATGTGGAAGATATGGTTTATATAAATATAAAGGTTGTACGTGTGAAATGTGCAGGTTGGTGATTAATGCAAACTTTAAACTGATGTAAACACTGTTCAGCTGAGAGAACAAACCGTTCTGGAGCCCGTCAGGATTCGGCTGATTCATAAATGTTGGGAAACGCTGCTGTAAAAGAAACTGCTTCAGTTCAGAAGGTTTCTCAAGCTTCTGTTTCCCTTCAGGTCCGTTTCTACGTTCTGTACATCAAACCGAGTCGCATCCATCAGAGGAAGTTCGATGGCAGCGGAAACGAAGTCGAGCCGAACTTCAGCGACACCAAGAAGGTCAACACCGGCTTCCTCATGTCGTCCTACAGTGAGTCTGCCTTCGTTTCCTCTCAGATGCAAACGAAAGTCTTTTGGAACATTTTGTCTTTCAGTAACATCCGCTTTGATTCAGTCTGATGGTGTCAGAACAAGCAGAGCAGATCTGTGTTTGATAAAGCATAGAGTCAGACTTGTAAAGAACTGAAAAAATATTTCAGATGATGTTTTGCAGAAGTCCAGTTTAATTAAAAAAAGAAAATCATGGCAATAAAACCCTTTTAAACACTCACAAACATTGACATTACTCAGAGGCAGATCGTTTCATGTTTGAATGCAGGTCTTCACTTCAAAAACTGTTCACGTTGTTGATATTCGACAAACCAGAAGTCGCTCTAAACTCTTTGATGTTAGAACACAAGTTTATCTGTCCAACATATCCGGGCTTTGTTGTGTTAGCTGGTTCAATAAAACCTAAAACCCCAGTCAGAGACAATGTATCAATCAGAGACAATGTATCACAGATTATCAAGAGATCATTAATCAATAAGAGATACTGTATCAATGTGAGATAATGTGTCAATCAGAGATAATTTACTAAACAAAGGGCAGACCCAAAAGACCAAAACAAGAAACTGATCAACAATAAATCATTAAGTATTAACATAATGTTTTCACCGTTATTCTCCGATTGCATCACTCTCTGCAGCTCTCACGGCAAGCATTGGTGGTTCAGTGGTAGAATTCTCGCCTGCCACGCGGGAGGCCCGGGTTCGATTCCCGGCCAATGCACGCACAGTTTTAACTGAATCCAGCTGTGATCCAACACACTGCAATATGCTTCTGAAGCCTCTTTCAGAGATGCAACATGGATCATTGCTAGTTGTTCAGTCTGTTAAAGTGACAACATTCTGTCATTTGCTACCTTTTTTTTAGAGAGTGCAAGTTAAAATTTCAAGCGGTCGCATTGGTGCGAGTGAACGATGACCATGAAGCTGTATTTGTGTTGCTGTAACCGGCACAGGAAGCTGCTGTGTTAACCACAGTGGTGGGAAGTAGTGCTTCTATAACTTTAGTGAGCTGCGCTGTTTACGCTTAAAAATGAGGTCGTCTCTTAAAAAAGCGGGGCGCACCTGAATTCACTGTTTGAGTACACCACAGATACCAACAGCAGCTACCACAGCCTGCGATGTGGGGCGTTTAGGGGACATCGCTAAATTGTAGCATCTATCGATAAGAAAATGTTCAGCAAGTCGTACGTTTTTTTGTTTCTGTGACCAGGTGGGAGGTGCGACCAAATGAGAAAGATGGTCGTACTGGTGAAAAAGTTCGTCTGGAGCCCTGAAATGTGGCTCAGAGTGAAAGCTCACCTGTCTGAGGTGAACAGATGTTCACAGCTGCTGCCAGATCCCGATCAGCCCTTTACTTGTGTTGGGATTATTTGTAGCTAAACGTGTGCAGTGTGAAACTCCGACTGTGTGTTCAACCGACAGTGATGATGTGTCCTGTTTTATTTTGAGTAAAACTGTGTGTGCATTGGCCGGGAATCGAACCCGGGCCTCCCGCGTGGCAGGCGAGAATTCTACCACTGAACCACCAATGCTGGATGTGTAGCAGGAAATACCATATTTGGAAAAAACTAACACAGTCACCACCCCTACTGAGCAACATCAACTGGGACATGTTCTAGTGCTAGCGCTAGTGATGTGAACGAGTTTAACGGAGGTGTTTACGGGCTTCATAATGAAACTGCTGGATGATGTCATTTCCATGGTGACGGTTTTGCGGAACCAGAAGTTTTGGTACAGAAGTGACACTTTTTGCAAATATGGTATTTCCTGCTGCCCATCCAGCATTGGTGGTTCAGTGGTAGAATTCTCGCCTGCCACGCGGGAGGCCCGGGTTCGATTCCCGGCCAATGCATGCCAAGTTTTAACTGAATAGTAAACCATCAAATCTAGTTCTCGATGAGCAGGGGCCTGTTCTCCAAAGCGAAATCAATGTACCCAGGATATCTTTCAGAGATTTGGCTTGACTAGCCCTAACAATCACACTCAGGATAAACGGTGGTGGTTATCAACTTGGTGAGTCAACCCAGGTTTGTCTGATCTGAGTATGAGCGCCGCCCCAGATGTGAGGATGAGCTGAAGCATATTAGAGACACATCTGGGGCCTCGACTTCGAAGCAGGATTTGGGGTTTGTGAGGTAACTTCAGCTTAAATCCTGGTTTTTCAGTCCTATGATGGTGGTTCACTTCTTACTGGGATACATCACCATGGTAGCTTACGCTGAACGGCTAACCTGCTCCGCAGCAGATTATGTTGGAGGTTGAGATCACTGAGTATAAAAACACCTCGACTGAAAACCAGTTCTCTCCCGTAAAACTTCAGAAGGAGCAGAAAACAAAGCATTTCTCAACAAATGGCATCACTGGCATTTATAGAAGACCTGCTACACATCTGAGCTGAACTGTGAGGCATCACTGAGGAGTGTGAGGGTTTTTCAGGACCAGCAAAACAGCGCACCCTGACCAGGATCTCTATGAGCTGCTGTCTTCCTTCATGAATGTTTTTTCCTGTTGGCTACATACAGTGTCAAAGCTGTATTATATATTTATTTCCATACCAATATCACCCCATAGCAGTAAACTGACTTCAGCATTAAAGCTTGTATTTGTAGGATACGTTAATAAGCTACACCGCTTTGAATTCTGTTTTCATGATTGTTCTTAATTTGTTCCCGTGTCCTTTTTACACCACCAGGGTTTCAGCTGAAAGTAAAAGAAATGTCAGATATGCCACAAGTATATACATTAGTCAGCAAGTTAGTTAAAAGGAATCCTCAGCTTGTCTTATTGTCTGATACGTGCCTTCATGATGGAACAGTGATCATGTTTTATTATAAACTAATGAATTGATGCATTCACACAGGCAGCAGTTTTCTGCCAGCATTCCTTCCTGCAACGGTGCTGCTTTTAGCTCCTATGATGACCGTCGTAGGACCGGTTGTCCTGAGTGCGATTGTTAGGGTTAGTCAAGCCGGATCTCTGAAACATTTCCTTGGTATGTTGATCTTGCTTCGGCGTACAGGCCCCAGGTCATGTTGTTGGTGTTTTTTTTACGGTCACATCCCAGCACACAAACAGCAGCTCACTAAGAACACATTGATTCACCTACCAGCAATAACCCACCAGTTACTGGCCACAAATCTAATCGTTCACAAGTCTGTGTTTTCAGTA